AGCTACGACTTTCCTGAATCGTTTCTCTTCCTTTAACACGTGGTAAATGAGTGAAACGGAGATAGTGTGCGTGGGGAAAATTTATTTTATATGGAATTATGTTATTTTAAATAGGAGCGAAGATGATTGAGTGTATTTTTTTAATAGACACGTTTTCTTGATAAACTCATCGGAGTCGTGACCCCTATTAGCCTTTCCAATCAGATTCGATGTTATAAAATGTTGGTTGGTCCAAAAACCATTAAAGACTTATTATTCAGTCATATAACAGTCTAATGATGTACTTGGATTTATACTACATGTATAAAATGCTCCCGCTCGGAGGAATAATCCAAACTTTTCTCCTCTTGTTCACGTTGGTTGTACGAATGGGCCATTGTCGGCGCGGTTAGACTGTGACTCGACCTAATTTACACCAAGGTGCGAGTCACAGTCTTACACCCAAGTGCAGATTATTCCCCTCTTCAGTGAATTTTTATTATAGTTAGTAGGTACATCCATACTTAGGGTGCTATTTGTTTTAGTCGGTGCGAGTGTTTTGTGTCGTCTCTTCTCAATTTGGACTATTTTTGGTAAGTTTTGTCTAGAGAGGATGTCAGGGATGTGCGTGAGGTGAAGAGTGAATTGGCACACAGCCACTGCTTCGTCTTTTAATAGCGCTTAGTTCCGACTTTCGCCACCGAGTCTTTGCAGCAGCACTGGCCGTTTTATGTACTAATTCTCCACAATTAACAAAAATTATACTTGTGATCAAATTTTAACATTATATTGTGCCTGAAAACACGGCATGACGTCACATTACGTCACAACATACAACAGTTTAAAAATCTATAACGGTGATGTGAGTTATGCTCATTTACATTTCTCTTGTTGAAATATGTTATGACTTGATGTCGTGTAGTGAAATACAAGCAACTTTTTTAAAGTTTTGTCTGTCAGTAAAGCGTTTTCTGTGATTGGTTTTTTATTTATATTCAAAGTTTGTTTCAAGTGTGTGTTATTAGGTGTACATAAAATAAAAAAGAGCATTTGTCATTGTCGTGTTGACTTGACAATGAATACTAATTATGGGATGTATATTTCCAGTCTTTATGTCAAAAGGGATAATATTCTTATACACTGTGATGGTGATAACAGTAGGCAGAGGTCATGGACCTGGATATAGCTTCTGTTTGCAATATTTAGAGTAGAATTTATTACAAGGTACGAATACCTACCTAATATTAGTCGGTAATGTAGAATTTATTAATGGAGCTACTAGAAAGAAAATTAAATACTTACCAAAGTGGCTATGTGTTTCATATAAACACTTTTAATTATTTATTTTTAGGAAAATCGGCTAGTAATTGACTGTAAAGCAAGTTAAAATCTTTGAGGTTAGATTGACAGCATTTAAATATTTGCTTTGGGTATTTTCACCTGTTTACCATTTTTATAATTTTGTGATTAAATATTTTTTAGAATATGTATACCTATAGGTAATCCTATACTTTTGTAACATCGCAGAAGCAGGTAGATGTACCTACATATACTTACTTACTGTGTAAATGTAATGCCTAATTTTAAATATTCATAAAATCTTAAAGTAGTAAAGTATCTAAGCCTAAGAAAAATTTATTTTGTACAAAAATTTATAAGATGTTTTAAACAATTAACCAACCTTATTATATTCATATTTTCTTAAGATGAAGTATAAATTGTTTAGTACACTCCAAAACTAGAAAGGCTACTATAGAAGCATGCACTTTGCTTTTTAATAACTAATTTTTTGGCTAAGTTTTTTATAATCGATTTGGTTTAATTTGGTTTTACTTCCTCATAAATATCGGGAATTAAAACTCGTTCTAGAGTGAATGAGAAGTTGCTTATAGGTATAGGTATATATTTTGATTCTTACGTTTTTATATTGTTTAATTCATTGATTTTTGTTATAATTCTATACCTACGTATTAAAATATATGAAAATATATAATTGTTGGATTTTATATAGGAATAGTTATCATCAATCTTTAAGACATATAAATAATTGAACTCACTTGGAGTAATTTATTAAAACATTTATTTTCATGGCAAAGCATTTTTCTTGTTAAGATATAGCGAATATAAATGAGGAAAAGCTTTTTTATTAGAGTTTTGTTTGCTTCTGTCGACAAAAATAGGAAATATGGAAATAGAAACTATACCTAATTAAGCATTGCGAAGATAAGGAAAGAACTTTATAAAACTCGGGATAATAAATCTAGGAACTTATCCTAATTAATTAAAGAACTTGCTTGTGGCCAACCTTTTCGTTCTCTTAATCCTGAAATTAATAGCTTGCCGCTCCCAATTCACGACTTCAACTTAAAATTCCCACAGTCCTGATATTTGCTTTGCGTTTTTTTTTCCCAACTCAGCTATTCTCTCAACGAGGCAATATTTCACCGGAAAGTAGGCCGGTTTTGTTTCGGAGATTTGTGCTTTTACTGTGTCTTATTTGGGGCACTGGGAGCGGTTTCCCGATTCAATTTTTGTCGAGCAATTCGCGTAAAGTGGCGTCGATATTGGCACGATCGTCCCTCTTTGCATATAATACCAAGGATAACATCGCCGACTCACCTATACGGTGCGCTCTTGGCCATTTCGTCGAATGGGAGCCCTAAAAGCTCCATGTCTCAGGCCTTACAGTAAACTGTAAAATGAACATATAAAGCATGCTGACAGACGGGCTGATAGAGGAGTCGTTCATGTGTCACTGCAACTATCAGCCGCGGCAATTGTAGTGCTTACAGTGCCAAAGCTCTTCCGTATTTCCAACGAAACGAGAGCTTTTCGGCGAGCTTGGCGGAGAGCGGTAAGGGAATGATACGAGTAGATAGCATTCGGAATGAGCTCAAAAAAGCACTCGCTATGTTTATGTATATATGTGTAACCATCTGTGGGGTAGTGTCTGTCTTAAATTGCTGAGAATGTTCAATGTTTTATGGTTTTTAAAGAAAATTAAAGAAAACAATAACGTTTTTTCATAAAACTACAATTTGTAACAGATCCTATCCTATATCCTAATCTTATACCTACCAAATTTTGCACAAATTTTAAGGTTTAATTTTTCAGTTTTTGGTTTACTAGTTTTATTTTGCTAGTTAGTAATAGAAAAGAATTTTATAACTGAGATTTTTAGACAATCATAAATTGAATAAATAATTAATAATTGTTTATTTTCGTCTATTTTAAGAAACAAAAAATAATAGGTATAGAAGTTAAAAAATAATACTGAGAAGCAAAAAAGGTGTGAATTATAATAGTAAAAATTTTTGCATTTTGTATATGTTTGGTTTTATAATGGAAAAAAAAATTCCTACCCCAGTACCTATTGTTATATTTAATAAAAAAATTGTTATTTATGTGATTTTTTTAATGATGACGATGTATGTCATACGGAAATTTAGCATTACAAAAAATGACAGCGAAGACTTATCGAAAGATTGGAAATAATTGAAATGTTTGTACAAATGTAAAACAATAGGTTAATATGTATATTTGTTCTGAAAGAATGTAAAAGGTTAATAAAATATCTATTTAAAAAATGTAGTCAAATACAGTAAGTTTTACATTTAAAAGAGGGGTTACTCAATAACATACTATATATTCGTCAATTTTACTATGAATACAGAACTATATTTCTTATTATTTATTTACAAACAACAATAGTAGTGCTAGAAAAGCATATTTATAAATAAAATATAAGTACCTAACTACAGATAGGTAATTGTAAACCATTAATTTTAAAAAGGCAAAATTTATAAAATGTACAGTTTACAACAAATATTTTGTCAAGACAAAAACAACTGTGGTAGACATACGACAAAAATATCTACCTATAGATATTAACAAACAATTTTTTGATAAGTACCTATTTTTAAAAACTTTTTTTAGCACTTGTTTCAGTTTTTAATTTTTTAAATTATTTTCTTTTATTACTTGATCTTTAAAGAATCATATTTTTATTGTTAGTTTTAGCGGGCATTTTGTTATTATTGCTTCTTTTGAGAGGGCCAGAGTAAAATAAAATATTTTTTATAAATTTTCTTATCGGTATACTTATGAAGCTTTTCCGTCAATTAATTCTTAATACAGAAACCAAATTAGTTTGGGTTTTTTGTTTGTGTTTTTTCTGTCAGCGTCGGTGATTTCTTTGTGCACCGTCAATAAATTGTCGAAAATGTCTTAAATCCGTGACAAATTGTCGTCCATCTGCGTTGTAGACCTAACACGTGGTTGGCATAGAATTAAGAATAATTGGCTTGCAATTCCTTGCCATAATTTAGCGGCTTCCATCAATAATTCTTGTAAAATATAGGCAGTTAGTGTGATGATTTTTTTTCTCTGGATGAAATAACGACAATAAAATCTTAATTATAATGGAAGTGACGATTTCATATACATGTTGATCATAAATCCGGCGAGTTTATTACGTTTTTCAAGTAAGGCCTGATTTAACAATTACTATGCTAATGGCAAAATAGGTCTGGACAGAGTTGCGGAATAAAATACGCAAAATACGTTTTCCAACTTGCATTTCATTATCTGGAACTGCACCAGAGGTTTAAGTGGATGCGGAATTGCACCTAAATATACTTACAGCAGAATTTATAGCGAGTGTAATTTTATTCATTAATCTTTTTTGCGAGTTAATTAATTAGTCGGTATGAAATTTGGCGCACGTATCAGGCAAAAGGATAACGTGATATGAGCCGAATTTTATTTCGTCCTTTCCGCATAAAAAGGACGTGTCTGGAAATACTACCAACCACATAAAATAATATTAACAAAAAGGAAGAAAAATTCGTGTAAGTTAGGTAACACTTGCGCTGAATTTATAGATAAATTTATCCTGTCGTATATTCCGGTGCAAAGTTTAATACTTAACCGGAGTGGAATATCGTCCGGGTTATCCCGGAATGTGCGGAATAAAGCGACAGCAAGAAAATAACGTTTTATTTGGCAAATACGTACACAGATCGTAAAGTTCCTCCGGTAATTAGAGCAATTATCTGTTTCAGGTGTTCGGGGTGGATGATGAAGTGCAGTGAAGTGGTGAGACGGTGGATATATCGCGCATTGTGTTTCCAATTGACGTCGACGGCGTCCTTGTGTCTGCTATTGGCGTCTCCGGCGTCTCCGGGACGGGCGGCTCCTGAGGAGGGGAAAAAGGTACGTCATTCGTCATATATTTACTGCTTGTACGTTTCGTCTGTTTGTTTGTTTATGGCACAAATTGATTCAATTACTTCCAACACAAATTGACTTTTAGATTATGTTTGTGTTGAACATTATTGGGACACCCCATGGGTTTCCAAGCCAATGCGATGTCAAATAACATTGGACAAATCTCATAAATACAATATATTTCACCTTTATTTTGTAGCTGTTACAATTTTTTTATGGATTTTAGAGATTTGACCGGAATTTTTGTGGAATTTTTTGTTCAAAAAATTGTTTAACGTCACATACATTTTAAAAGTTGTATTTTGACAATATTCAAATTTTAAGTGACTTGTAAAGCTGAAAGTAATAAAATTAATAAATTTGCAATTTTTAAGTAAAACTATTACAATTTTAAATTTATTTTGTACTGATTTCGAAAAATTTTAAATTTAGATTTATTAAGTACCTTATAGTTAATTTTTTTCTTGCGATAATTAAGCTCTAATGTTAACTTGGCAGTTGAAAAACTTACCTTTAGAATGTGCTCTCCAAATGCGCAATTTTCGGTTTTAGATGCAGGCCCAATTTTTTTTTCTTTTGTTGCTCTATTTTAGTGTCTGTAAAAAAATAGTTGAAACTTGAGTTACCCATTGGTAATTACCATACAACACATTGCGTTCCTGCATAACGACATCCTTAAAAAAGCATGGAAATGCAGAAATATGCAGTCTCGCAAATGAAGGCAGTTTGATATTTGCATTCCTTATCATTCGCCTGAGTGCAGGACGAATTATAAGTTAGAAACATTCTTGCTTAATTAACTCGCTGCATTTCCATGCAAATTCTTAAACAAATGGAAGATAGGAACGTCTGTTTAATTGAATTTATGGTAAATAAACTCTTGATACTGGCCTGAATTTTTCTGCTCGAAGATCGAGTGAAAAATAAACGCTATGTTGAAACTAAAATGGCGCCAACCTATTTACAGTGCAATGTGCATTTACCTCCTACAGCTAGCATGGAGGTGTGAGGGGGATATGAGATTAAGTTTAATTTGTTGGAGGCATTATCAGGGAATTTATTTGTGTGTTGGTGTTGCCAACGATTTTTTGACTTCTTAATCTGCACAATAAACTTATACGGCTTTATCACAATTAAAAGTTAAGACCCATTTTATCCAATGATTTGCTCATTATTTCAGCCGCAAGAGCCAAAAACAATGTGAATATTTCAGTTTTATTTCCAAAAATTTACATTTCAACAAGTAGTAGGTATTTTTACCACATTTGGGACACAATTTTTTAAAAGCAAAGATCATATTTTGTAGGTATTCAAACAAAACGTGAAGAAATTAGTTAGAAGTCGAATTTACATAAATATTAGTTTTGCATCCTTCCTGTATGATTTGTGCTGTCTGCATATTAATTACTTTTTTTCTTGTGAGACGTGATAGTTTCCAGTTTTTCATATTTTTTTAAAACACATTTATTAATATTTGCACTTGACTATATAATAAAACAGACTTGAATAAATTAAACGGATATGAATAATTGAATAATGGTAATTACTTTGGTGTTAAGTGTTGCATTAGTAAAGAGCATAATTACACCAGTGGGTGGCTAAACAGATGATGAGATAAGAAAAAATTCTAACGTGCATTCGAGAAATAAATTACTAAGCTACACGAATTCTGATTAAATTCGAGATATAAAGGGTATCAAGGTTAATTAAACCGTAATTGAACGGTTTAACATTGTGATATTGGCGTAGTTTGCGTTTCATGGTTTAGGGATGTTTGTAATGTTCTCAAATAAATTATTCAAGAAGACTCAACTATTTTACAATAAGTAGTCATTCCCTTTCTAAACCAGCCATAAAGTCTCTTTTCTTTGTACTTTATCCTTATCTAAAGGGTGGTAATCTAGTTCAGTACAAACAATACACCGCTTTAATTATCACCCATCGTTGCCCTAATAAGGTAATTCGAGTGCCGTTGAAGTTTTCGGTCGTTTCGTCTCTGCATTCTCGGTCAGTTGTGCAGTCTAAGGCAGGGCCTTTATGGCAATGGCGTAGTTATTCGTCCGCCATTACTCAGGGTGTGGCAATCCGACGGATAAAGTAATTCAACTTTCTTACCTTTTACTGATTCAGACACGTTCTCACACAAAATGCAAAATTTTCTGCAATTATTTACGCCAGGGAACGAGGTAATTAGCAGTAATTAAGAGACAATGGAAGAGAATTATGTGATAATGGGTGAATCTTAATTTTTGCTAAATAACGACCACGGCGAGACAAGGACAGAGTAATACAAATTTTTATTAGACAAATAAAGAGCGGAAATAACAGACAAATATTATCGGATTGTTTTTACGTATTTTCATGAAATGTAATTTTCTTGTTGCGTTATTTTATTGATTTCATGTTTGTTTGTTCGGCTTTTTAATTGTAACATCATGTTGTTTATTGGTCGTAAAATAGTGCTACAATAATTTTTGTTTTAAAGTTATTCGCATGCTTTTAAAACCGTTTTTATGATAACCAAAATCAATTAGCAATCTTGGCGAGAAATCCAGATGTTTTGTGACATTTATGTTAAAAACGGGGGACATCTTCATAATTTTAAATTGAAAAAATTTCAATATTAATAACGCAAACTCATTTGCATTTTGTTGTTTAAAATGGCATCCACCTGCTTTGCTCGAATTTTTTTTCAAAATTCGGTTATTTTCGTGAGGAGATGTCGGCTGTCTGCATTATTCGCGTTGCGGCTCAATAATACATTATCGTCATAAAAAAGCTCCTACATCATGTACCAAAGTAAATATTCCAGGCGTGCGAGCTACGACATAAAACAGTGTATTTGTTTTGTTACTCCACGTGTATCACAGATTTCATGCAATATACAGACATCTCCGAAATATCAAGCCCCGAATAAGAAATAACTTTGTTTACGTCGAGTGCAGAAAAAGTGCGCAAAACTAGCTAAAATAAAACTTGGATGCAAGTATTTGTCTGGAAGCAAATGAAACCATTCGCAAGCAAACTGTCGGTTCGAGGACAACAAAATTCCAGCGAAATAATTTGAATAGAATGCAACAAAGTCAAAACTGCGATTAAGATATGGCGAGTTGGGTGGTCGAAATTAAAATCGCCGATAAAATACTGCAGGTGGTAAACCGCCCCGGAGGGTGTGTCTTGATTAAAACACTTTTAACCAATTTATGTTCAATTTGAGTTTAGTGCTCGAACCGACTTTGATTGGATTGTTTGCTCAGGTCGACTTTAAGCTTCTGCCCTCACTTTCCATAAAAATCACAATCGATATCATAATTTAGACGGCTACCGATATAAATGCGCATCAAATTCAAATAAGGACTTTATGACATAGTTCACTTTTTGAATTTGCATTTTAATTAAATCTAAAAGAGATCTCTTGGCAATATCCCTACACCGGTTGCTCGAAAAAACTTATTCAATTGAGACGATGCACTTGCTTTATTAAGGACAATTTAAACCAACATTCTAATAATAATAAATTTTCATAAAGAACGCATCTCAAATAATTTACTTGTGAGCAACACTAAAAATATTGATGGGATTTTGGTAACAACGTTTATTTCTCTTCGATTTATTGACTTTTAACACGAAGTTGCGTTATTTAGTTGATTTCAAATAATTGTTTGAGCTTTAGTGCTAAATATGCAGGAATATGTAAACTGGTTGGGAATACCTATCTAACCAATGAACGGTTAAATGGAGCTCTCAATTACCAAGAATTCACCAGTTGGATGGCGATTATATCTCAAAAATGTTGTTTCAACGTTATAACGGCAATGGCCTGCGAAATAAATTTCTGCGTTATGTGAAGACGTATACCAAGAAGTTTCTTGTTTTGCGTGATTAATTATAGAATCGTGAGGAATATTAGATTTTATCAGTAAATAATTCATAAGGCAAATGTGGGTCGAGGCAGATTATTCAAGTCTATTTTACGATCGATATGGATTCGTGAAAAGATCCTCGAAGAAAAGCAAATAGATTAGATGAATCCATTTTGTCGGGAGTTTATTGGCGAAACTACTCAAGCATAGTTGTTCCATCGATTGAAATAAATTTTGCAACATATGTAAAATAAAATTTTAAGTTTAGCGAGAGACTGTACGTCTCGCCGGATTTTAATTAAAATTTCCACATGTGTGAAACTGTTTTTCTTCCGATGATTTTTCCATTTCCGACCGGCCCATAAACCTCGACATTATCTTACATTTTCCGCCTTAATACTCCAATTATTTAAAATTTTCCGGGTTAATGCCCATTTTTCCTTCCACTCGAAATGTCTTGTCTCGAGTACTTAAAGGAGATACACTAACGAAAGTTAATTTTGCCTCCAATTTCAAAGTTCAAAGTGTTTTGTCGCGTCACATTCTAAGTGGCAGGGCTTGAGGGTGAAGAGAGTCATTTACTTTGATGGGAGTTTAGGATGTGAATGTTTTTAGAATCGAGTAAATATTTAGAAAGTTTCGCATGCGCGATCTTCAAGTCAATACTGCAGGGAGCAGGAAAATGCACAGGAGGAGTGTTCAGTTTTGGGATTCTTAAGGTTGATTTTTCGTTATCACCAAGAAGTGTCATTTCGTCCTGGAAGCTTCGGTAATGTTTTAAAGTCATTGAGGGCCAACCGTGGCTTTGTAAACGGTTTCAGCCCTAGTCACGTGGTATCGTTAACATGTTTAATAAACAACGAGATGTTTGGAATGTAAATTGACGATTTTTGTGACGGGAGACGAGACGGAAGCAGTCTTAAATATTTATAGATGCACATCATAGGCCATAACGATTTCTGAAACAATATCTGTACTACCATATGCATGTTTATTGCGATTTTCAATTGGTTTTTTACCTATACGGAAGAATATCATTTTTAATTGTATTTTTTGAATGAGACTTTACAAAAGTATTTGTTTGTATACTTTGTTGGAGTAAATAAAGTCACTTATTTTACTACAGTATTGTGCTGCCGAATGATTCATATTTTGTTTACTTTCTTGAGTAATAAAGATAAGTCACCTGTTACACAATTGTTTACTAATTTTGAAAAAATAATTGAACAGTGTATCTGTTTAGAACAACACTACCTACTAAGTAGATTTAAAATAATTTTGCTTAGAATGTAAGGTTAAGGTTTTGATCAATTCTGCATATGAAGCTGTTTATTTGTGAACTTGTTTAAATAAAAAATTAATGACTAATGTGTGAATAACAATATACAGGGGTTTCATTCTCACTAGCATTTTTCTTTTACTTTTTTCATAACTGTTCAAAATTGCTCAATTTTACAAGGTACACTTAAAAACGCCCAAATGTGATAAATTTGATAAGCTTTAATTTTTTATCTACGACAAATAATTTTTGAAATACTTATTTCGGATTTATGTTAAGACTAATCAAAATTTTAAACTTTTCAGTTTATACCTACATGACTTGACTTGTATCTACAGTATGTCCCCGGATTGGGTTTACAAGCGAAATTTTTTTTTATCTTTGATCTCACGCTAAAACTGCAAAGGAAAAACATTTTTTGCTTCATCCCAAACGAGCAAATCTGTAATTATAACTTTATTAAACTTTATTATTCTGATTCAGTGAAATGAAAAGTTAATTTTTTTGAGTTTGGATTTAATTTTTCTCTGCTGTTTAAATCCTATCACATTGGCGGTTTAATTTATTTGACAACTATGTCAGTTTGCCAATTAATTTATTAATTGAATAGTAATAATTTTTGTTAGAAATGACTTTGTTTCCTACCTTAAAGCTGTTTTTTTGAGTTGCCATGTATTAAAATTATGTTTTTCACAAAA